GAGAGAGAGAGAGAGAGAGAGAGAGAGAGAGAGAGAGAGAGAGAGAGAGAGAGAGAGAGAGAGAGAGAGAGAGCTGCAGAGCTTTGGCGCAGAAAATTAGCGAGAAACTGTGCCAAGGCTCCCGTGGTTGACTTTTCTGTCTGTGGTGGGTTGTTCAATGGGCAGGTATTGTGCATTATGCTGTGTGGGCAGCTTGGTCTTCAGTCCAAGGACGGTGCCATCCGTTGTATGGCAATTGACCATTTAGGATCTGTTGCAGCTCGTCTCAAAGCGGATGCTGCAGTATCCTCCAATGACACTTTGTGGGTTCTTCGTGATCTCTGCGAGGAAGAGGATCGGAATGCTGAGTGTGGTGAAAAGGAAAGACCTCTGAAGCAGCGGCAAAGCCGAAGTCTCTGTGCAGTGTGCTCCAAGCCATTCGGTGGGAAGTTCTCGATTGAGTGTAGAGGATGTAGGACAATTTTCCATGGCAACTGTGTAGGCATTGGGGAGCATGACCATGTAGGAAAGGAGTGGTCTTGTTATCCGTGCCTGTGTGAAAAGCAGTTAGCTTCCCTTGAAGCTGAGCTTGGAATTCAGCGGCAGCAAACCAATGGATATGAGGGGAATGGCGAGGTGAAGGACAAGCACAAGGATAAGGAGAAAGAGAAGGGATGTGGTGGAAGCTTTCCTGAACCCGGGAAACTGAAGGCTGAAAATCGGAGTGGGTGCTTGGTATTGCAGCAATTGTTGTTGGAATACCTCATGGAAGCCGGGAAAAGTGACCCGGTCATCATGTATGCAAGAAGGTAGTTTCGTAAACTCTCATCACGCTGCCCATAGTAAGAAGGCACTTCACAGTTTGGCCCGATATAGTTCATTTTCCTGTCTTAGTGTCTCTAATGCTGGTGCTTTGAGGTTATGTGAGGTGTCATTTTAACACATGGCCGTCATACGGTTGTTACGTATGCAATGTCTTCTCGTGTTAAATGATGCTGAAAATTGTCTCCAGATTTGATAAGTTGAGCGAAAGTTGCATCTGATGTCAGCGGAGATGAGACCATGTTCTGTGAGATGATGCGCTGGGCAAGCTCCTGCTTAGGAAGACCTGGGGTTCTGTGACTGTTGTGTCCTTCTCCATGCTTTCCTCTCTTTCTATTGTTGCTTGTCCCTCGTGTTTTCTTGCACCCCTCGTGTGCTCCTTAGGTGATTTCTTTTGTCACAATGGCATCGGGGGTAGAAACTTTGTCACTTGTCAGTGGTGTTGCCAACTTGCCACTGTCTTTTAAGGCTCAACTAATACTGATACTGCTGCTGGGATGGATGCCCCCCGATACTCGTACTGGTGTTGTATTGAACGGATACTGAATTGCTGGGACTACTATCATGGCCAGTAGAAGGGCGAAAATGTAGTTGTGGCTTTGCCTATTGTCTTGTGTTCGTGTGGTGATTGGGCGGATTTCAGATCGATGGATCTTTCATATTGGAATCCACTTCTGGGAAGGGTGTTGCTTTGCTAATGAGGATGTGGAGGGAAGGGTTATGCCTGGGTGATCTACTGGGATTCCTTGGATGATTGAGCTGGAGGCAGTTCACTGGATGCAAGGGTGGAGGGCACACACTGACTTCTTTGGTTTGCGACATTGCAGGTTTTATATCTGTCAGTGGTATCGGGATGAGGGATGCCCTGAACACGAACTTGGATTTTATAAAAGACGGCTTCAATTACGGGGTCCAGGGTCTGATGTCGGTGCTGGCAACTTGTTGACCAGAGAGATGGTTGTGTGTGTTTCAAGAGCTCTTGGGCAGCAACGACCGCTTGCCCGAGGGTTTGAGCGCATCTTTCGGGAGCTTCTTGTATGTTTGTCTCTTCTCACCGATCCCCTTGATTTTGCTGATGTGACATCCCATTTGCAAAGAGTAGTCCTTGTAGACCTCTGTATGTTATGGATTTGTGCAGTTGTTTTGTGATCCAAAGCTGTGGTGTGAGCTAGCTCTTGTTTAGTGTTCTCCCTCATAAGCATGCCATCGCTCTCACCATTGCTAATGACAAATCTTCCAACACGCCTTACTCAGCTAAAGATTGGTGCATGCCAACAATTGCGTAACATACTGAGGTCTAGTGCTGCCATTTGCGTCACTTACTATAAGCAGTCAACGATATACACTGGGAATCATGATAACCGGCGTTCGGCCAGGGCTGAACGGCCGAACCCGAACGGCCGAACGTTCGCGCCCCCTTGTCAATGCGTTCGGTTTTGGCCCCCCCAAAAAAAACAAAACAAAGAAATCCAAAAAATCCTAGGCTACCAGAGTGGCCTGGGACCACTTCTCTGCATAACGTAGTTTTTTTCCGGATTTTTTTTTTTTTCTTTTGCTGGGATGTTCCTGGTCCTTGCACGGTCCTTGCATGGCCAGGCGGGTAGCCAAGAAAAAAATCTGAAAAAATATATGTTATGCAGAAAAATAAACTGAACAACATTTGCCTTAGCGTTACATCCAAATTCTTTATCAAATTTGAAATAAAAAGAAAATACGAAAAACAAATAATAATAAGAAAAATAAGAAAAAACAAGGAGAGAATTAAAATCAGTGCATGGGTGGGCACGTTTTAAACACCGCCATCTTTGGCAATTTTGCATTTTTGTTTTGGCTTAGTCAAATGCCCTGAAAATTTATAGATGTGTATCTCACATGATTCAAAACTCGTTGAAAAAAATAAAATAAAATTGTTTAGGGCCCGAAATAAAGTGAAAACAAAAAGTGAAAAGAGAAAAAACACAAAATAGTGAGTGGGCGAGCACGTTTTGACACCGCCATCTTTGACGATTTTTCATTTTTTCTTGGCTTGTGCGAGGATTGAGCCGTCACAGGGCCCCTATCAGTCATTCAAGTGTTCTGGGCTGTGGCCCCCAGCAAGCCTCGTGCCCGCCCTAAGTGAAGTCGGGCCTGAATATCCATGTGAGGCCAATTTCACACATTGTTTTTCCTATGCCGGATATCAGACAGTTGCAGCACGCAAGTTGGTTACAAAGCAATGTGAGCCTTTCGTGGCTCCTTCCAGAAGCTGTAGCTGTGTCAAACAGTTGAGCCCAGTGCAAGGATTCGACCCCTCGGCAGTGCTGGGAAAGGCCTTGCCCGCCCTAAGTGAAGGCGGGCCTGCCAATATGTGCCAAGGCCTGGGTACAGGCGAGTGTGATCACCCTAAAGGGGCCGTATACGTGCGGGGAATTGAGCCCTCGCGGGGCCTTTATCAGATGTGCACATGTTCTGCGCAGAGGCCCTCAGCAAGCCCTGTGCCCACCCCAAGTGAAGGCGGGCCTGAATATTCACAAGAGGCCAAGATTTGACACTTGTCCATATGTGGGTATCAGACAGTTGCAGCACACCAGTTGGTTACAGAGTAATGTGAGCCTCTCCAGGCTCTTTCCGGAAGTTGCAGCCTCGACGGGCAGTTGAGCCCAGGGCCCCGTACAGTCAAGGCCCTGGGCGTGTGCTTTCAGAGGCCGACACATCATACGACAGCCACGGACCAATGAGATTGCAGCATTGTCAGCACATAGTGGCCGTGAGCCAATGAGATCACAGCGAACATGTGGAGGCCCGTGGACTGCCTGGACATGCCCAACTGTAGAGGGCCCAGGCCCGTAACTGCAACTGGGCCTGGGCGCAGGCATTGAGGCCCGACTGGAAGCTACTGGATGCTCGCCCAGCCAGGCCCAGAGGCAGCAGAGGCTGAGCTCACTTTCCATATAGGAAAGTGAGCATCGCTGGGCAGGTCATTCTGGCCTAGGCAGGCAATGCAGCCACGCTGCTGCGTTGCAACTTCGTGATCTGCACGAAGCTGCCGGCTGGGTCACGCGCACTGGCGCCGGGGTGTGAGGTGCACTGCTGGGCAGTGGGCCCACAGCAGCCATAGCCGGGCTGCTGGGCGCAGGTCTGGATGGCGATGGTGGTCTTTGGGTGTTGAGAATGCACACTGTGGGAAGTGAGGGGTGACGAGTGGAGAGATGAGATACATACCTGGTGCATGAGGGAGGTCAGCTATGATGTTGACGTCATGTACCTTGGTCTTCAAAGTCGAAGTGAGCCTGTTGCGTGAACGCTGGTGTAGTAGGATAGGCGAGTAGTGTAGGCTGGACGCTGGGCGCCAGACAGAGTAGGAGCGACGTTGGATACAGTGTTGATGTGGCCTGAGGGCTTGGACATTGGCTCGTGAGTTCATTGTATTGCTCTTATCTGGATGGAATCTCGGTGCATTTGCGCTCTCTGCTTGTACATGACTACTTGGACATCTGCATGATTTCGTAACTTGGTTTTCTGTATATTGCTCTTGCTCATATTCCTTGCACCAGGGCTCAGGCGGTTGCGCCCTGGGCGCAGACGCTCAGAGGCCAACACATCATGGAAAGGCCGCGGACAATGAGAATGCAGCAAACACTTGGAGCCTGGCAAGCCTCGTGCCTGCGCTAAGTGAAGTCGGGCCTGAATATATAGCGGCAAACACTTGGAGCCTGGCAAGCCTCGTGCCTGCGCTAAGTGAAGTCGGGCCTGAATATCCACGTGAGGCCATGCAAGTGTTCTGGGCTGCGGGCCCCAGCAAGCCTCGTGCCCGCACTAAGTGAAGTCGGGCTTGAATATCCATGTGAGGCCAATTTCGGACTTTTTTTTTTTGTATGCCGGATATCGGACAGTTGCAGCACGCCAGTTGGTTACAAAGCAACGTGAGTCTTTCATGGCTCCTCCCAGAAGCTGTAGTAGTGTCGAACAGTTGAGCCCAGGGCTCAGGCGGTTGTGCCCTGGGCGCAGACACTCAGAGGCAGACACATTATGGAAAGGCCGCGGACCAATCAGAATGCACCATTGTCGTCACACATCTACTGCGGGCCAATTAGATAGCGACAAACACTTGGAGCCTGGGAGGCTGCCCGGACGTGCCTAACCGTACGAAGCCCAGGCCAGTATCTGAAACTGGGCCTGGGCGCAGACACTTGGGGCCAGACTGAAGCTACTTTGCCCCTACACTCCTGGCCAGACCACCCAGCAGCGGGCACACTTTCCATAATGGAAAGTCTGCGCCTCTGGGCACAGCATTCTGACCTGTGCAGGCGATGCGGCCACACTGCTGTGTCGTAGCACGAGCAGCTGCGCTAGCGCTGCTGGCCAGGGCGCGCACAGGCACTAAGAGGCGAGAGGGCACTGCGGTGGCAGTGGGCACACGGTGGCCATAGCTGGGCCGCGCATGCGGTGGCAGGTGATGGTGATGGTGGTCTTCGGGTAGGAGGCGCATGCAGAGGGGGACAAGGTGTGATGAGGGGAGGGGAGGAGAGCGAACGTACCTGGTGTATGCTGGCAGTCGGCATTGGTGATGAACGCACGTACATAGGTCTTCATCTTTGATGTGATCTGGTTGCAAGAACGTAGATAGGTGTAGATAGGCTGATAGAGTAGGCTGGGCAATGGGCACCATAGAGTAGGAGCGACATTTGATACTGTGTTGCTGTGGGCAGAGAGCGTCGACATCGGCATACGAGTTCATTGTATTGCTCTTATTTGGATGGTATCTTGGTGCATTGTGCTCTCTGCTTGGTACATGACTATCTGTGCTACCTCGTGATTTTGCTACCTGGATTTCTGTCTATCGCTCTTGCTCTGCTCATATCTGGACTAATAGTTGCACTGTTGGCTCGCTGAGTCCTAATGTGTTTGTGTTTGTCTTTCAATGAAGTTGATTTCCTACCATGCTTTATGCCGAGTGATTACTCTGGTGTTGAGTATTAGCATTTTCCCGCCACTGCTTTTCTTTCCTTTTCGTTCTCGGAAACTCAGACGTGTTGAAGGAATTGATAAAAGGTGTGGCACCTCCTGATGCAGGCATGTTTGTGGGAGAACTCACCTACTCCACGAGCGAAGTCTCTCCGAGCTGTAAGTTCTAATTGGTTGCTCTGGCAACTTCAGCTCCTATGTAATATTGTACTCTCACAGAGTTTCCAACCAGTTTGTTTGATATTTCTAAGTGCGTGCACATTTTCATAGGTACAGCACATAGCTGCACAGCACGTCTGGCACACAGCTTTTGTATGCAACCAAGAAACGAAAAAACGAAAAAAAAAAATTAAAAAAAATTGGTATGGCCATACCATTGCTAATGCACCCGATCCAGTCGGAATTGGAAGCCATTAAAAAAAAAAAGAAAAAGAAAAAGAAGTGATGCAAAATGATATTTTGAGCGCGTTTTTTCTTTTCTTTTTCTTTTCTTTTGGAGCAACTTTTGGCTGAGATTGTGGATATTGCTCATTCGCAATAGCACTGGCAGGGAGAAGGCAGCCATAGCTGCGCCAGTGCAGAGTGTTAGAGCTAGCTAGTGGTAGTTAGTAGGCATAGCGATGGGTGTATCCAGATTAATCCTTGAGTAGTAGTTAGTGAGTGTGCATGCATGTAGGGAGAGAAGACACAGTGAGGACATAGCTAGAGAGAAGACCAGCGAGACAGAGAGAGACAGAGAGAGAAGAAGAGCTGGAAAGTGATATTTACCTGAGAGCTGACGCTGGTTACTGGTTACCTTTGTATGCGTTGATGAGTGCTGGTGACTTGAACTCTTATTGCTCTTGTGATAATTTGTTGGAAGCTGCGCTATCTGGTTTTCGACTCTCTGGCATCCAATGTGGAAATTCGTGTCATCTCACTTGTGCTTGATGCATGTCTTTGTATGCACTCATTGGTGATGAACTGTGTGATTCATAGCAATGTGGCTCGTCATCGTGACCTGCGCACAAAACCGCAGAAGAGATGCCACAAACTCAGCGGTGTCCTGCGTCCACTCCAAAAAACACATCCGCCACCCCCTTCCCCTCCTAGCCCTCTCACCCCGTGAAACACTATGAAATCAGCCTCATTCTAACCCCCTCTAGTCCCTTACCCCCCCGAACCCCCACGAAAATAGCACTTCACTGCTTTTGCAAAACGTAATCGGGGGGAAAAAGAAGTGACGGCGACAACGTGAGGAGGAGGAGGAAATACAATCGGAGTTCGGTTTTCAGAGTTTCATTCAAAAAATAGAAACGAAGTGACGAGGGCGTGACAAGGAGGAGATGAGATGGAGGAGGAAGATGAGGAGATGGAGAAGGAGAGATGGAGGAAGGCGAGGAGGAGGAGGTAAGGAGGAGGAGGACGACGACGACGACGTGATAAGGAGGACGAGATACCATCACGGTTCGAACTCAGAAGTTTCCATTAACAACAAAGAGAAAAGTGACGAAACCCTGATGAGGAGGATGAGAAGTGGAGGAGGAGATGGAGAGATGGAGGAGGAAATATGGATGAGGAGGGATGGGGGAGAAGGACGAGTACCCCCCTCAAACCCCCACGAAAATAGCACTTCACTGCTTTTGTAAAACATAATCGGGGGGAAAAAAGCGATCAATTGCCTTTCACAAACGGAAACAATTGCTTTTCCAAATGTCCCTGGGAAAAGAAGCGACGCCGACAACGTGAGGAGGAGGAGGAAATACAATCGGAGTTCAATTTTCAGAGTTTCATTAAAAAAAAAGAAACAAAGTGACGAGGGGGTGACAAGGAGGAGATGAGATGGAGGAGGAAGAGGAGGAGATGGAGAAGGAGAGATGGAGGAAGGTGAGGAGGAGGACGACGACGACGTGATAAGGAGGACGAGATACCATCACGGTTCGAACTCCAGAAGTTTCCATGAACAACAAAGAAAAAAGTGACGAAACCCTGATGAGGAGGATGAGAAGTGGAGGAGGAGATGGAGAGATGGAGGAGGAAATATGGATGAGGAGGGACGGGGGAGAAGGACGAGGAGACATGGAGGAGGAGGAGGAAGACGCTGAGGAGATACCATCACAGTTGGAACTTCGAAGTGTCCATAAAAAGAAATGACGAGGCTGTGACAAGGAGGATGAGAGGTGGAGGAGAGGAGATGGAGAGATGGAGGAGGAGAGATGTCGAGATGGAGGAGGAAAGATGGACGAGGAGGGATGGAGGGCAAGGACGAGGAGGAATGGAGGAGGAAAGATGGACGAGGAGGGATGGGGAGGGATGGAGGAGGAAAGATGGCCGAGGAGGGATGGACGACAAGGACGAGGAGACATGGAGGAGGAGGAGGACGACGACGACAAGGAGATACCATCACAGTTCGAACTTCAGAGTCACAGTTCGAATTTCAAAGTTTCCATTAAAAAAAGAAAAACGAAAAAGTGAGGAGGCCGTGACAAGGAGGATGAGAGGAGGAAGAGTAGAGATGGAGAGATGGAGGAGGAGATGGAAAGATGGAGGAGGAAAGATGGACGAGGAGGGATGGGCGAGAAGGACGAGGAGACATGGAGGAGGAGGAGGACGGCTATGCTTGTTGATGCTTCACTGATGATGCATTGTCCATTCGAGTCCTTTTCATCACTTTGCGGATCTTTGGCTCAATGTACATGCTCGATCGAGCATGTATTAGAGGATGAGAGGTGGAAGAGTAGAGATGGAGAGATGGTGGAGAAGAGATGGAGAGATGGAGAGATGGAGGAGGAAAGATGGACAAGGAGGGACAGAGGAGGAGGACGAGGAGGAAAGATGGACGAGGAAAGATGGACGAGGAAGGACGGAGGAGGAGGACGAGGAAAGATGGACGAGGAGGGACGGAGGAGGACAAGGAAAGATGGATGACTAAGGTAGAGGAGGTGATACCAACAGAGATGGAGGAGGGAAGATGGACGAGGAGGGACGGAGGAGGACAAGGAGAGATGGAGGAGGAAAGATGGACGACTAAGGGTAGAGGAGGTGATACCGACACAAATTGAAGTTTACACAAGAAAAGCTGACGAGACCTTGACAAGGAGGACAGGAGGAGGTGGAGGAGGAAAGATGCACGAGCAGGGGAGAGGTGAAGGAGGAAGTGACGAGGAGGAGAAATGCACGAGGGGACGAGGAGGAGGCAGAGGTGATGAGGAGATAGTCCGAGATACTATCAAATCTCCGAGTACAAGATCTGATACTAAAAAGAAAAGGACAATGCCGAGGCGAGGAGGAGGAGGAGGGGAGGAGGAGGAAGGGGAAGATGTGGAGGAGGAGGAGGAGGAGGAGGAGGAGGGGGAGAAGGTGAGTTCGAGGGAGGGCAGGAGGGCTGGTGAAGACTCACCTCGGAGGAGGGTTGAAGTAGGTGATGGTTGCTCCAGAGCTCAGCCTCGGTGATGATGCAAATGCAGGGGGAGGTCGGCGCTGCACGTAGCGGGGAACTGACGGCGCTGCTTCCGGAGTGGACTGCAGGCGGCTGCAACAACGAGGAGTAAACGGCCCGCTGAAGCCCTGCCAATATCGACCTGCTAAAACTACGAAACGGTTCCCCCCCCCACCCAAAACGAAGGGGCAGTGTGTACAAAGGCCAGGGATGTAATCAGCGCAAGCTGATGGCTCAAGCTTACTACGCATTCCTCTTCAATAAAATTTTGGACCGTTTCTCGTTTTATGTGCGCCATCCTTGCGCAGGGGCCATGTGGATCTTCTGTTTCCAATTTAAACGGATGTCTCAAATTTGTCTTCCCTGCCCTTTTTGTTGTTGTCTGGCCAAGGAGAGGCCTTCGGTTGGTGACAAGTGATCAGTTCATCAACGATGCATGCAAGGGATCCACCTGGGGAGATCCTAACACAAGCAGTCTTCGGGCAACTACCTAGGTGGGGGCCTACATCAGCTTCTGCCACATTTGACTGTGAGCAGGAGGGTGTCTTCTCAGCAAGCGCCTTTGTCTGCCTATCAAAACTCACAGCCCCAGCAGAAGCAGCTGCTACTTCTACTGGCCATCCCCTTTGACTGACTACAGTTCTGGACAAAAGGGGATGATATGATCCGTATCCCCACACTTAAAACATCCCCCCTCTTCTCTCCTCTTTCTCCATTTGGCCTCAGACATTTTCATAGCTTCATAAGGTAGTCCTTCCTCTCTCCCTGGGTTCGGAAGGAAAATTCCCTCCACCTCCTGCGCCGCTGGTGAGAACAAAGTTGTTCCCACCTCTTCCCCCTTGTGGGTAGAAGCCACCTCTGTCTCCTTGCCGGGAACCATAACCCCCTTCTCCCGCTTGGAAGTCATTCCAGCTTCCTTTCCCCTGGACTGCAGGGCCACATTCTCCTCTACCCCTGGCCATGGCGTCCATGACCACTGCCTCCTCCTCGCACTCCTTTGTAGGCAGCTATGATCACATAATCCCCTCCCTGGACTACATGGCTGTCCTCCTCCATTCCATAAGCTATCTATTTGTTGGGTAGTTCCTCTACCCCGCCTTCCTGACAGGTAACTAAAAGGCTGTGCTTTCCTTGAATCTTAGCTGAGATAGTTCTACTGTTCCGCTTTTTCCCTTTCTCTCAACCTCGGTAGAAGTGGTTGTTAGCTTGCTGTTGGAAGCCTGCTTGTTCTAATGCATGATTAGAGAATGCTTCATAGGTCTGTCTTGGCTCTTGGGAACTTAGCATACGATTGAGACTTCAGGGGGTCAGATAGATTGAAACTTCAGGGGGTCAGACAGGGCTAACATGAAGTGTCTCAGAATTTGTGCAGGGGTCTCACTGTGATCTTTCACCTGCAGATACTCGTCCATGGTAGCCTTCAGGCCTGCAACATCCTTCCACTGTCGCAGTTCTATGTTCAGAATGTTGAATTCAGTCCGTATGGCCCTGTTGTTATCGTCAAATGCGTGAATCGCAAGAACATGTCCATATCTGTAATTTGAGAGTACCTTACCATATCTCTCTCACAGTCTGCTGCCTCTGCCTGAGCAATTGCCCAATTCATGGCATCTACCCCTAGGCACGATACCGCCATCAACACCTTAGTGTGGTAGTCTATCTCCTGCGCCCATAGGTAGGTTCTAACTGTGGCTTCCCACTGCAGGATGTTCTCTTCCTTCTTACCGTTATATGTGAGGGCCAGTTTCACCTTAACGTATCTCTGGCACCTGCGTCATTCCCATCAGAGTCCTTCCCTTTCTAAACCCCCTTCCGGCCTTTGCCATCATCATCATCATCATCATCTCCATCACCTTCTCCATCAGGGTCCTTCTTTCCCAACTTTCTTCCAAATGTCTCCTTGGGAAAGGCCCAACAGAATTCAAGAAACAACAGGAAATCAGGGTTGCATACCTGCCAACTGCTGACACGAACCGTTGACTGTTTTGCAGCCTACTAGTAGGGATGACAGGTCGGCAGGTCGGCAGTCTGCCAACCAGTTTGTAGAGGGCCATCTGAGTTTGGGGCTGTACTGTGCTCACTGAGCACAGCCCAAATTCATTGGAGGGGGGTTATGGGGGGGTATAAGGGGGGTATAGGGGGGCATTGGGGGGTTATGAGGGTGTTGGGGGGCAGTATGGCGGTGTTGGTGGGGAGGAGGCAGTATGGTGGTGCCGAGGGAGTTATTGGTCTACCTAGGGTAGGCTCTGGACTGTCAGGGTGTTGGGGGGCAGTATGAGGGTGCCGGGGGGGTTATTGGCCTACCTAGGGTAGGCTCAAGGATGTCATTGGTTAGGCCTTGGCCTGGTGGGGGGGAATTAGACACTTCTTATTCTGGGGAACGAGATGGGATACCGCATGGGGTAAGTAGGTGAAAGAACATGCCTGGTGTCCGAAGTGCCTGTACAACAAGGTTTGTCGGACATAGCTTCAACTAGGGCTGGGTGGGTTGTTCTGCCTGGCGCTGGTGCCTGCAACTGCTGTCCGGTAGATCTGCAGGAGGTTGTCAATGTACCTCAAGACGGAAGAGCAGGGGAGAGATTAGAGCAAGTTTAGATCTGCAGGAGCTTGTCAATGTGCCTCAAGACAGAAGAGCAGGGGAGACATTAGAGTAGGTTTTCTTTGCACCCAAAGTGACCCATAGAATCATGGCACTCTCCTAGCAGCAGACACCTATGAGACTCGTTCATGGGTACACAGAGCTATCAAACCCATCCTTACTCACGGGCAACTATCCCTCTACCATCCTATACTCGTCGCTCACCCTTCTATCTTGAGCGTTGAGGTATCTGACAAGTTTACTAAGCATGCTGTGTCCTTGGTTGGATTCTACCACCTGGCGATGTGTACGTCCGTCTAGGTCACCGGTGCACCTAGGAAGTGTGCTCGTCTCGATTAAGCATCAGCACTACTGTATTGTGCTCTCCTTTCTCATGCTTCAGAGTGAAGTCATAAATGTCTATGACTTGTACGCAATACTTGAGCGCATCAGAAAGTGTGGGCTGTGTCTTGGTTCATGTCTCATGGTTGGATCTTACTTCAAAATGTCTGCCAGGGAGGTAATGCGTGCACTGTTCCAGGGCCACACAGAGTGAAAGAGGTTGCTGATGATGTTCTGTTCATTTAAACCACCAGTACTTTTGACCCCCCAGCTGAGCCTGAAAATGCCCTGCGCACCAAAAAAAACGAACCAGCGTGTCCCTTCTTTTGGCTGGTGCTGGTAGCCATTTTCTCCAGTAGGCCGGCCCCCGAAACTTGCGGCGCGCATACAGCCGCATCAGAGAAAAATGGCTGTCAAATGTACTGGTGGTTTAATCACCACTACCTTTTAACGCCACCCTGGTTACAAGAAGGCCTGCCCTTTTTCCTATGCTCCATTGGATTGACAATCTGCTTGATTCTGCTGACCACAGGTTTCTTGTCCTGTCTGCAGGAGTTGGCCTGATTATTTCAGGAGATAGTTGTGGTTTAAGTATGAATGCCTGTGTTTGTGTCTCATGGTCCAGGTTGGTGCAGTGATTGAAGCAGATCCTTCTGTGCTTGGAGATGTCCAAGTCCAGAAAGCTGTTGAAGGGCGATTCTTGGACTCTGCTATTTCTGTGCGCGAAGCAGCTTTGGAGCTGGTGGGGAAGCATATTACAAACCACCCAGAATATTTGCTTCAGGTATGAACTTCCTGTACACCGGCATAGTTAGAGTAAGGTCCAGTGTTTGCTTTGTGTTTCCATGTCTTTGAAGTTCGGAGTGATGTTCAGCACTATGATGGCAAAGTTGTGACCTCTCCAGTCATACAGTAGCAGAGCCAGAAGCGCAATATTTGAAACAAGTAGCCCCAAAACAATAAGGATTAGATACAGCACTATGATGTCACTATTTGAAACAAGTGGGAATGGAGCATTCAACAACGTGGTTCCTGGTCGATTTCGTACTAATTCTTTGTTGATCTAAGGGCAGTGCAGTTTCGAGAAGTCACCTGTAACTTCCTCTTGCAACAAGGTGTATGGCTCCGGATGGTCTACAAACCTCTGTTGAATATCTCATCCCCTTTTCAAGTTCGCAGTGGCTGTTTTGCATGATAACCGACCGGAGGTCCGGACCGGGTTCCAGACAGTCCGGAACAACATTTCCCGGTCCGGTGTCCGGTCCTGATGTCCGGATGGAGGCCCCAGGGCAAAAAAAAAAAAAAGGGGGTGATTATTCAGTGTCGCTTCACCCCACCGGACAGGGCCTTAAGGTCCGGACGCAAGACACTGCAGGTTTTTTGGGGTGGCGGGTTTCACAGGCCCGGGCAATTTCAAAGCGGCCGTTTCGACGTGCCCTCGAGCAAGCAGGCAAGAGAGAGAGAGAGAGAGAGAGAGAGAGAGAGAGAGAGAGAGAGAGAGAGAGAGAGAGTACTGACAGTGCTGCGAGTCTGAAGACTCTGCCGTTCTGAATTGAACTGCAAAATTCGAACTTAAAGTTATATGAACTTTATGAAGTTATGAACTTAAATTACTTCATTGAAAGTTCAAACTTCAAAGTTAATCATATTTATTTTTCTGAGTGAGGACGCCGCCCGGCCGGGCAGGCCCCAGGGGGCCGCCTGGGTAAACCGGGCGGGCCAGAAAAACGCCCATAATTTTTTTTATTTTTTTTTTGGAACTGGGGTCGTTCTGCGCTCGGCGAGAGGACCCCGAATCTGCAATAAAATTTTGGTTTTGGGGGGGGGTGGGGGGTGCTGGGGTTGGGGGGGGTGTCTGGGAGCCTGTATGTTGCCTGCTGTATGATGAATGTATGTCACCCTATATGTACTGGGTTGGGTGCTCTGCATGTTTGTTGCCTGCTGCTCTGATGTCTGCTGATGGGATGGATGGAGGGAGGGGGGTAGTGATCGATGGATGGATGTATGATGGATGATGGAGGATGACGAGATGAGATGGAGGGAGGGATGAAGGATGGAGGATGGAGGATGGAGAATGTCGAGATGGGATGGAGGATGGAGGATGGCAAGATGGGATGGAGGGATGGAGGATGGAGGATGGAGGATGGTGAGAGGATGGATGGAGGATGGTGAGATGGGATGGAGGGAGGGAGGGATGGATGATCGAGGATGGAGAATGGTGAGATGGGATGGAGGAAGTGATGGATGGATGGATGATGGAGGGTGGCGAGATGGGATTGAGGGAGGGAGGGATGGAGGATGGAGGATGGAGAAAGGCAGGGAGGAGTAGGGAAGGAGGGGAAGAAGAAGACGAGGAGAGAAGAAGACCTAATGAGGGGGGAGGAAGAAGAAGAAGAAGAAGAAGAAGAAGAAGAAGAAGAAGAAGAAGAAGAAGAGAGGTGAGGAGGGGAAGAAGAAGAAGATGAAGAAAGGTCGAGGAGAAAGATGAAAACGCAAGGGCGAGGAGGGGAAGAAGAAGACGAGAGGACGACGAGGAGAGAAGAAGGAGAAGAAGAAGATGACCGAAGGAGGGGGAGGAGGACGTCCTTCAATTTTTTAATTTTTTTTTTTTTTTTAACCTAACGTGTCTCGTGTGACCCACCGAAAGTCGACGAACTGGAAGAAGAAGAAGAAGCAGGAGGAGGAGAAGAAGAAGAAGAAGAAGAAGAAGAAGAAGAAGAAGAAGAAGAAAGGTCGAGGGGAAAGATGAAAACGCGAGGGGGAGGAGGGGAAGAAGTGGAAGACGAGGAGAAAAGAAGGAGAAGAAGATGACCAAAGAAGGAGGGGGAGGAGGACGGCCTTCGTTTTTTTTTTTTTCCAACCTAACGGGTCTCACGTGACCTACCGAATGTCGACGAACTGGAAGAAGAAGAAGAAGAAGAAGAAGAAGAAGAGAAAAAAAACGAGTGGGGGAGAATGGGAAGACGAAGATGAAAGGTTACGGAGGAAGATGAAAGCGCGAGCTGGACGAGGGGAAGCAGAAGAAGACGAGTGGAGGAGGAGGAGGAGAGAAGGAGGAGGAGAGAAGAAGAAGAAGAAGATGAGCCAAGTAGGGGGGGAGTGGAGGGGTCGTAGGTGGACGGCCTGCCGTATCTCATGTGACCTGCCGAATGATCTAGAAGAAGAAGAAGAAGAAGAAGAAGAAGAAGATGGGGAAGAAGTATGGCTGAGATAGGGTATGGCGACGGCGGTAGGGTATGGAGAAAGGCAGGGAGGAGTAGNAAGGCAGGGAGGAGTAGGGAAGGAGGGGAAGAAGAAGACGAGGAGAGAAGACCTAATGAGGGGAGAAGAAGAAGAAGAAGAAGAAGATGGGGAAGTATGGCTGCGATAGCGGCGGCGGTAGGGTATGGAGAAAGGCAGCAAGGAGTAGGGAAGGAGGGGAAGAAGAAAAGGAGAGAAGAAGACCTAGTGAGGAGAGAAGAAGAAGAAGAAGAGAGGTGAGGAGGGGAAGAAGAAGATCAAGAAAGGTCGAGGGGAAAGATGAAAACGCGATGAGGAGGAGGGGAAGAAGTGGAAGACGAGAGAGAGGTGAGGAGGGAAAGAAGAAGAAGATCAAGAAAGGTCGAGGGGAAAGATGAAAACGCGAGGGGGAGGAGGGGAAGAAGTGGAAGACGAGATGATGACGAGGAGAAAAGGAGTAGAAGAAGACGAGGGGAGAAGTAGGGGGCAGAGGGCGGTCATGTTTTTTTTTTTTCGGTAACCTGTCGTGTCCCACGTCACCTACCGAATGTTGACGAACTAGAAGAAGAAGGAGAAGAAGAAGAAGAAGAAGAAGAAGAAGAAGAAGAAGAAGAAGAACAGCGCCTTCGTCGGGGCCTTCGTTGTAGCAGCAGCAGCAGGACAGCCGGGGCCTTTGTTGTAGCAGCAGCGGCAGGACAGTCGGGGCCTTCGTTGCACACCTGATGGCGATGGCGACGGGCACGAAGAAGAAGAAGAAGAAGAAGAAGAAGAAGAAGAAGAAGAAGAAGAAGAACGGCTCCTTCGTCCTAGCACCAGGGCCTTCGTCGTAGCAGCAGCAGCAGGACAGTCGGGGCCTTCGTCGTAGCAGCATCAGCAGGACAGTTGGGGCCTTCGTCGGAGCAGCAGGAGCTGCACACCTGATGATGATGGCGACGGGCGACGGCGCAGCAGGAGGAGGTTGGCAACTGGGATCGTGCTGGGGGGCAAGTGGCAGACCACCCCAGCTGATCGAAGGTTTGAAGGGGGGGGGAGGGAGTTCGGTGCCAAGATCCCACGGCTATGTGGCCGTCGGTCATGGAGGATCGACGGCCACAGAGCTGACAAAAAATTCAAAAAACAAAGCAGGCCTACCGGGCCCGACGCTGAGGTTTTTTGGGGCCGGTTGGATGCGGTAGGCCCGCAGGCAGCAGCCGAAAGAGTGTCCGGAAACCCCCGGCAGGTGAGTGCGCTGGGGGGGCCCGGCCCCCAACCGGGTGCCCTGCCCGGCCAGGCCCCCCGGGACATCCCCCGGGCCGCGGTCTGTCACCCGGGCGGCCCGGTTCCCCACTCAGATATTTTTCATTTTTTTTCCCTCTATTGCTTTAGTCTTGTGCCTGCTTTGCACTGTTTGCAACTCTGCATGTCTGCTAGTTGAATGTTCTTGTTCATTTGCTGCAAGACAGGTGCTCTGCTGTGCATGGGTCCTGGGGACCATCTCACGCAAGTGTGTACATGCCATGCATCGTACTCCCACACACAATGAACAGTAGTCTGACAATAGACAAAGATAGAGAAGATGAGGACCGAGTTTCACAGTTTATATTATCAGAAATATGAATACAAAGTGTTTCAAAGTTCCCCTGAGTCCAGCGCTCATCAGCGCAACACCAATATCTTGCCAACTCATCAATATGCCTTCCAGTGAATCAGTGCTACCCTTGCAGATAGTCTCCAAATCATCAACGTGGTCACTACTCATCAGCGCCACCTCTGCAGGTCACAACCAACTCAGGTAAGTACCTTCCATAGCCAAACCTTGAATGAACACTCTCAGCCTCAATCCCTTCCTCCTATGATGCATACACACACTTCAATACTCATGAGGATCTACTCTGGATACTACTCATAGCTACATACTAACCCTCTACTACTAATGCTAACTCGCTGGGCAGCTATGGCTGCATCACTTCCAGCGTACAGGCATCTTCCTCCCTCCAGCGCGTCTTCTCCTCCAGCGCTGCTCCTCCTGACTCAGCGCACAAGTGCACCAGCACTTCCACGCATTGCAGCCAGTGGAGATCTGGCGAGGAATGAGGCAGGCAGCTCTTTTTATAGTGCTGGCCACTCCTCGCTGGGTCTGCATTGGCTCAATTCAGCCTCTCCTTTTGTCCCAGACCCTGCATTGCATGTGTCCCAGTACAGTCCCAATGAGATTCAACTGCTGCTGAGGCACTTCGGCCTGGATTTGGACTTGAAAGTCTGGATCTGGACTGACCTCTTGACTTAGACCAGAACTGGGACTGTGCCTACTGACTTCACTTTTGGACAGGCACAACTCTAAACGAACAGACACATTTACTACTTGAACAGGCACTTTCCATTGCACGAACAGGTACACTGCCTACACGTACAGACACACCCTTACTCGAACAGACATGACATACACATCTCCTGGTGAACAGGTAAGTCTTTTGACAATGCCCTTTGCCTTAGATTTAGATGTGCCTGTTGATAGAGAACTTGACTTTTGACCTGTTTTCACGTTTCTGAGCCCTGGCAAGATACCTTTTCACAATGCTTTACTTTTACAAGGCCCGCGCTGCTCTATTTTTACAAGGCCTGAGGCCTATATCGGGTAAAGGCCCTTTTAGCTGCCTGAACTACAAAGTGCAAAGCAGGTGAGTGCCTGCCAACACCATTTCACATGGGGCTTGTGTGAAAATTCCATGCGACGAGTACTACGACAAGATTCTCGAATACGAAGATTGCAATCTAACTTGGGTCAATACTTTGTGGCTGTTGTGCTGATTGGTGTTGCGTTGTCGACAGTACTATGACAAGATTGCGGAGCGGATAATGGATACAGGTGTCAGTGTTCGCAAGCGAGTCATAAAGATCATTCGTGATGTTTGTGTGCAGCCGAAGTTCCCAAAGACAACAGATGCCTGTACACGTCTCATATCCAGAATAAATGATGATGAGCAGACAATTCAAGTAAGTTGCTTTTTCGATGGGTTTCCAGGAACTTGCCTTTTAGTTGTTTAGCATCACTGTCGGAGATGCGTACCACTGGATGCATAGCTTATGTTGTTCATGGACTGCCCAAATCCACGGGAAAGAATATGGTCAAGGAAGTAGCAGAGGGTCCCATGTGGTGGGGGGCCCGCTTGGTACACACTCTGCTTGGAATTGTTAGGCTACAATAAATCAATTATTTCGTTGTTGACCTGTGGTAGAAAATCAAAACGATGTACGCAACATACTCGAGCTTTAAATCAATGTCCTCAGACTTTGTGTTTCTGCAAAACCACCCAAAAAAACAACTCAGCTTTACGCAAATAGCTAAAGTGGGGTTATGACAGCGCCACAGTAATATGGGATGCAACTCGGGCACGGGCTTTCACTGGAAAGCTGCATCACCAGTTCATGGGGTTGGTACGTTCCAGCCCCATTGTTCCGGAACTTCCGGTGCTCTTTCTAGTTCTCTGATGTCCTTGTCTGGTCTGTATAGTATTGTTTTAATTTGTCTACAGTTTTTCCTTGTGATTGTCTGCTTTTCCTTTTGTTTCCGAGTTTCGAATTTCCTCACGTTTTTAAAGTTGAATTCTAACTAGGCTACCAGCCGGGCCGCATGGGTCACCTTGTTTGCCCAGGCTGCGTGGCCGTGCAAGGACCATAGAACATCCCAGCAAGCAAAAAATAATAATAATAATTATAAATTATGCAAAAAAATAAACTGAACAACTTTTTCCTCAGGGTCACATCAGAATTCTTTACCAAATTTGAAGTAAAAAATAAAATAAAATATTAAAATAACAATTGTTTTTTTGTTTTGTAAAGCCTCGCCAGGCATGTGGTCCCGAGCCACTCTGGTAGCCTAGAATTCTAAGGTAGTTCAGCCGAGAGAAGCAACGGATTGTGACCTTCAAAAGTTAAGACGCCTGCACTGGTGAACTGTGAATGCAATGCAGTGAAAAGTTTCTAAACCGGAAAATGTTGGAAAGCAAAAGCCGGATAGAAACTATTAGAAATGGACGGTCATGGTAATGGCTTGATGGACCCTACGGCACAACGACTAGGATGTGAAGGCGGAAGGCAAAGAAGAAGATAATCTGCTTGCAACTGCGGCTGGAGGAAATTCTGGTGCAAGGAGGAAGAGGAGGGGGAAAGAGAAAGGACGGTTGAAAGTTTGAAGCCCACAAAAGTTGGAAAACAAAAGGTAGATAAAAATTATTAAAAACTATTAAAAAATTGTACAAATGGAAAACGATTGCGTGGCTTGATGATCCCTGCTGCATGATGACCATGATGTGAGGAAGAAGAAGAAGGCAAACAAGAAAACGAAGAAGATGACGAAGCTCTGGTAGGAAAGAAGGTAATTGATAGCACTGTCCTTCATGGTTGTGATAATGACGATGATGATTACTTTGCAGGAAGAGGAGGGAGTAGAAAAAGACGCTCGCCCTCTCATGTTGTAATCATCAGGACAAGGTGGGCTCATGGCAATGCTGTTGCTACCATTGGCAAGCATGCTGCAGGAGCAGTTGGCAATGTCTAAAGAGTCTAAAGACTGAACACCATTTCTTTTGTGGGAATGAAGTTTTTGATTTGAAAGTGACCAAACAACAAAAGATCCAGCCCAACCCACCCAGTGATGTGCAGGTGTGCCAGTACCTGCAGGAGTTTGACATTGGTGAGTTTTAAACCACCAGTACAAGGCCCCAGCCTTGCAGTCCAAAACTTGTTGCCACAAGAAAACGAGGCCGAAACGTCAAACGTTGCGCCCGCCGTTGATAAATTACATCGGCGGTCGCAGTTTCGTTTCGCGCCTCCAGAATATGAGGTGTCAGGCCTGCAGCCCAGGTGCCCATGTACTGGTGCTTTAAGGACCTGTAGGCATCTGCATCTCTGTGGCTGCATATGGTCCTTTTACGGGTCAACAGTCTCACTGATAATCAGCCATGCAGTGTATCGCTGGATTCTGGCATCTTGACACTCTCTCTATTCTCCTATCGTTAACTGTCATGCTGCTGAGAACAGTGGGAATCATAGACAGTGGGCCTCACTCCACCACTCACCAAATGTGCAAAATGAGAATGAATCTTCTGCTCGAACATGGGCAGATAGTAGCAAGGACCCTATCTTGTCTAACATGAAATCTCGTCTCCAGAACAATCGAACTGGTCGCTGCCATGCTGGTACATTGAAAGCGCGACCTGTGGTGGTTTAGCGACCTCACAGCTTTGGCTTTCACTTCTCCTGTCCGCGTAAGACATACCCAGGACATCTGCATTTCGCTCTCCTTCATACTTCCATGACCAGAATCGAGTTCACCTGACTTCTGCTATGAAGACGTAATCTCGCCACCGGTGCAGGTCTTGCACCATTTTCCAAAATGCCTGAGGATACTCATCTGGGACTTCCCAAGACCAAGAGTTGTATCCCCATGATACCATAGAGCCAAGGAGAGGGGGCATGGTGAGAACCCAACAACAATCTTGAAGAGCAATGCAGGATGTCAGAACTGCAGGCGCTTATGCACAGAGTTGGCGCCAATTGTTTCCTAGCTACAGTGCCAACTTAGAACTCAAGAAACAGTCGGGCTCTGGAACACAATGTCGCTCCAAGCTCCTAGTATCGCCCTCTGTAGTTTCCTTTAGCAGCTTTGTTGTGAAAAGGAGAAGATCCCATTGGGAAGTTTTAGCAGGGAAACGAACGTTCATGGGTGTGCATGCTCTTCAGCTGCATTGAACTTCATTTTTACCCGTTTGTTGTCATTGGGTGTATGCTTTGACAGGACCTTGTGACAAGGACTTTGTATGAACTTTGGTTTGATCCAGAATCAGGAGGAGCACCTTGCGGGAAGACAGGGGAAGTGTCAAAAGCAATTGTGGAGAAGGCGCAGCAACTAGTGGATGTCTTAAGTGCCCAGCCAAGCCACACAACGATGGTGACAGTGATCAAGCGAAGCTTGATGCATGGCAGTGCGGGAAATGCGGTGGAGCTTGACAATGGTTTTGTTCCTATCACTGGAGCTGTGAGACAGCGCTGCGAGTTGCTGTGTCGGTGCTTGCTCGAAAGTGTATTGAAGGTAAGAATATGTGATGAACATGCTTCCTTTGTCGGTGCTTGCTCGAAAGTGTATTGAAGGTAAGAATATGTGATGAACATGCTTCCTTTACCGTTTTTGAAAAGAAACAAGTGGACCCGCCACAGCCACGCTGCGGCGAAGGACGATGACAAAAACATTTTGCGAAACACCCCAGCCATCAGTTGGACCCCATCTTTGCAATGTACCCCTACTGGACGCTGCCCAATTTTGCAAAATGCCCCGGCAGTTGCCAACGTTTTGTAGGTGCAATTGACCAAGAGAAATTGCACACCCACCTGACAGGGCGATAACACAAACATGTCAGTCGAAAAGGCCATTCCACTGTGCCCATATCTTTAAGGGACATTTTGACATATATCTCAACTTATGGGG